CTAGCAACCCCCCCCCCCCAAAAAAAAAAAACTGAAACTTGTTTGTCCACAGATTTGTTGAACTTGTTGATTGGAGTGCCATGTATGACGTTGTGCACACAGAAGTAGTATATTTCCATTCTGAAACATTCAGATGTTCTTTGGAATATGTCTCTTTAATCATTTTAAGATTTTTCGATGTAAATGGGGGTAAAAAAAGGTAGATGGCTTAGTTTGAACAAAGCTTCTACATCCTTGAGTTTCTTGCCGGAGATTTAAGAAATTTTTTGAGGGACGTCTGAGCTTAAAGCCGGGTCATCTTTCAACCTTTGTATGGACAGTTCAGGATCACTGATATGCTACGTAAGTTTGTGTGTATCAATAATAAACCGACGCAGTTTCGCCTGGTCGTAGGCTGAGTCTCTTCTTGGCTCCAATTTCTCATGTTGGATGTGCATTCAAGTCAGCTGTCTCCGACGCGGCGATGATAGGTAGCAGTGCCATCTACTCCCTGGATGTCACTTTACCGGAGGATCATCTCAGACGGACTCTCCAAAGTTTGTTTGGAGACTCATTACATCCCAGTTGAGCGTGAATTCTGATTCATTAGAATTATACAACCGGAGGGCGGAGAGGGCGGCAGCACCACAGAACTACGGAAGAAGGAGGAAAACCATCTATTTTGAGTGTTCCAGAACAATGTTTATCCAAGGAGTTTTATCAAGAGAAGCTTGAAGAAGAAGACATCTCAGCAACAGCAAGAACAAGCAACCAGACGGGTAGTCCTACCTTACATCAAGAATACATCAGAACTCGCAACCAGATTATTGGCTCAAAAAGGAGTCTTCGTGGACCACAAACAGAATGCCACTCTAAGGAAATTAATCTCTAGACCAAAGGACAACCGGGACTAGACCAAGAGGAACAATGTGATATACCAAATCAGCTGCCACAAATTCTACGTTGGACAAACTGGGATGAAGTTATGCACACGAATAATGGAAGACAACGCGGCTGTCAGGAGGCATGACCCCTGTCCTT